TTAATCAATTTAATGGAGAGTATGAGGTTAAGGATTCCCGAATGGAAGCGTGCTTAGAATTCACAAAAAGGAAGTTAAAAAACCTTATAAATTCGAGGTAATAAAAATTCCACGGAGCCAAACTACTTCAGTGGACGCTCTTGCTTCTCGAGCATCTAAGTTGGATCCCGAGCCGAAGAGAATGATTTATGTGGAGTTCATCTCGACCATGAATATTCCATTCTTATATATATATATATATATATATATATATATATCTTTAAGATTTTTGTTCACATTCTATCACAAATTCTTATTCTTTTGTATCGCCAAAAATGGCAAATGGTGATAAGAAAATGCACAAGATTTGTTTTGGCAGTAAGTAATATGTTTAGAATTAAGTTTTAGTGATAAAATATAAGAGTTTCTACACAATAATCGTACCACTTATTCAATTAAGAATCAACGTTTATCATTATATAAAAAGAAATGAAGATAGTTATGACAAATGCAATGGGAAAAAACTAAGTTAATATCATATGATGTGTAAGTCTCAACTATGGATTTATTTAAATCAAGTTTATCTACAATTTTTTATGTAAAGTTAAAACTTGATCATATAAATTTAACTCTCTGTCATATGATGATTTTTCATAATCATGTTAAAATATATTGTGTTATGGAGTTATGTTTTTTACTATTGTGAGGATTTATTCATCAAAGCATTTCTATATGTGTGGGTGATTAGAAAAAAAAATCAAATATACCAGTTGCTTAAGCTATCAAAGCAGATTTTCTCTCATGTGATTATTTGGTCTACATTGATAAGAAGTATTTGGTAGTTGATGGTTGTAATATTTATACTAATTAAAAAATATTTTGCATCTCAAATTGAATTGGCATAGGAGCATTGAGCGCTATACCAACATGAGGTTTTACATCTCTTGCAAACGACACAATGCCAGTGAATAAACAAATCGTACGTGAATGCTTGAACTCAGGAGGCAATCAAATGGAAACAAGTATAATCCCTAAAGCATACTTAGTACAATGGAAATGTATGGTTTTCTCTGATTTATTAAAATGGATGGATGACTAATTAACAGTATCAATATAAGTGATTTCTAGTCGCCGTACAAATCAATAAGAAAAAACAAAAACACAAGAGGTCCATAAAATAAATAAATAAATCTACATTGTTTTGTTTCGGTTTGTGAACAAGCTAGTTTTTACTATATGTCTCATTACTTGTATGATATTGTACGACCGTGTCCTAGGAAATAATGAAAAACTTGAGTTTGTATCAAGAATTGGATTGAAATCAGTTTATTCAGGTTAGTTTACTAAGTTGGTCGATTTATTAATTAAAGTAAAAAAAAGTTTCAATTAATTTTAGTTTAGATAAATCCTTGTTTAATCAAATTAAACTAAGAAACCCTATTATTTATCTTTAAGGATGGCGTCTCCTTGCTGCTGCTTCCCTTATTGATCGTCGTGACCAACATAATATTATTGACACTTAGTTAAATATAACTTCCATTTTTATATTTAAATTCTATAGAGTTATATTAATAATAGTTTAAACTTTTTATATATTTTAAACTTTTTGGTAGTTAGAATATTATTGATACCTCAAGTTTTTTAGATTTTAAATATTTATAGTATTTTAAAATTTATGTGAAGTTTAAATGCTCAAATATTTTAAACAGACTATAAAGATTAAATATTTATAATAATATTCTATAAAATTTAAACATTTATAATATTTAAACCTTTTAAGAGTGAAGATTAAATATTTATAATAATATTCTATAAAATTTAAACATTTATAATATTTAAACCTTTTAAGAGTGAGAATGATCAAGTGAGCTAGTGGTTCTCAACTCTGTTTGCCTTCTCACCAGATCCGAGCTCGAGCTCGGTCCCTCTCAAAGAGAGACTTATTATTGGTAATGATGTCAAAAGAAAAAAAAACCTTTTAAGAGTTTCAATATTTATAATATTATGATTAAATATGCTCAAATATATTAAACCCGAATAAATTTAAATTTTTTAAAGTGTATGATAAATTAAGCTTCTTGGTCATTGATAGTTAGAAGAATGTTATTAGTCTCATTTATATTGATTCTAAAACATTGTCCAAAAAAATTACCCAATTTGGGACGTTTTTTTTTATTTGAATGTAAAACTTATTCGAACAAAAAAAAAACTATTTACAATAACTGTGTACTTGAATTTGAAACATGAGATCAAAAGAAATTGAGATGTAACTCCAACTGTGAAAACTCAAAAACAAGAACAATCAATGCGGAGGAGGACGAGTAGGAAACCAGTAGGCTAGCCCCTCATTGTAAGAGAGTAGTCTCCTTGGTTAAGAATTGAGCTGAATTTATTGCGGATGTTCTTGTCAATATTCCTAAGAAGAAGAGATTGTGTGCAAGGGCTATCTCCATGACGTCATTTGTTCCGTTCTTGCCAAATATGATAGAGAGTAGTTTGAAAGGTGTACTTTAATGTGAAAAAACTTATTCTTTCATGGCTGAGATCGGTGAGAAGCCGTAACAATTGGTTCCAATCAGTAGTGAACTCGTGATCCCGATGTGGGACGTTTTATATACACTTTTTCTGTATCTACATATATTTAATCAAATTAATATTAGTTTACATATATACAATTTTGGTTTTTTAATATTTTCATCTATAACAGTCATAATTAATTATTATAGTTTCGTTAAGGAAATATTTCAAAAACTAATATGATAAATGGTGATTTGTTTTTATTTTATTATATCATACTGATTTGTTGCTTCCTAACAAACTATAAAAGCCAAATCAAATAAGATTACTTATATTCAATTTCGAGTTTAAGGGGGGGGGGGGGGGGGTGAAGCTTGGTCGGTCGTACTCGTACATACGTATGCATAGTTCAATGAAGATTTTTCTTAACTAAATAATTAATAATTAGTTTCCGAAAGTGAATAGTAAAGATAAGTGGTGTTGTTTGTTAACAAAGATGTTATTTAACCACTCAAGATCAACAATCAACATGATCAATATTGTTGGCTTTACAGTGTGAATATTTTTTTTTGATTTTGTCTTTACACTTTTGGATAACGTTTCTAAGATGTTATTTTGAGCTAAAGATTTGATTTTTTTTTTTTATCTTTGATTAATCTCAATGTTCGTGTAGACTTGGGCAGATATGGCTATTGGATTGTAGAAGTGGACGACTGCATCAAGGAGTCAAAATAGAGAGCCTACCAATAATTTCGAGTGGGATAGTATTACACTATTAACCAAGAAGGTCAACGGTATGGTACGAGGCAAAGACCATTATTTGCCGAATTTTGGGTACATCGTATTTAACAATGCGGAAAAGCGGTTTTAATATGCGGTACGGTTTAACTGTAATATTTAGAAAAAATAAATTTGCGAGACAAGTGCAGTTTGCGATGTTTTTGGACCGTTAGGTAAATACTACTTATGTTTTAAAAAATGTTTCAAATTTATATATGTTGGTTAATTTCGCAATTTTTTTTCAAAAAACGCTAATAAGAAGAAAATTTGGTCGATCGGTAACATATGTGCGTTTGTGGCCACAATTTATGGCCTTTGTTTTTGGTGTCAAAATTGCCAAGTTTTTTTAGAGACAAACAACAGTGTAGTTATCTCTTTTCCCTCTTCCTCCACTAACAAAGTAACAAGTGGTAAGTATTTATTGTGGTCAAACGTTTGTAAGAATCAAAATTCTTCTAACCCACTTGTATCACCTTTTTTTGTTTTTTCTTGTGTGTGTAAGATTTGCATAGATTGACAAAATTTTCTGTTTTGAACCATATGGTACCACACTTATAAGTGTTTTTATAAAAAAAATATTATTATAAGCTATACATATTTGTTTATACAATTTTTTTTTTTAATTATAAGCTATCTACCATGAACTATTACTTTAGCAAATATATATTATATAAAATTTATTTTAGCAAATAGTATTATGGAATTTAAATTTTCAAAGTGCAAAAATAATTAAGTTTCCATTATGATATCTTGTCAATTTATAAGAGAATAGTGTAACAACTGTAAACTAATTAAGAGAACAATATGTTAGTTCTACATCTAAAGAGATTACATATTACACCTACATCTACATCTATGTTAGTTTTAATATTAAATTGTAGCTAATTTTTTTTATCAAATTTGATAAATATGTTATATTTGTATGAAAATAAATTCATATACAAAATTGATCAATTTTATTTCTTTTTACAGATAAAAAGGTGTTTTTTTATTTTGGGACAAATTTAAATAAAATAAGGAGAATTTTTGAGAGATACCCTTTTGGTGTACCCCTTTTAAAAAATATCCCTCTTTTCTATCCATTTTTAAAAATACCATTTTTCAAATATGAAAAATTATAAACTTTTATATGGTTGATAAGGTACATCAAGATCATCATTACTACTGGGAGACTAAGTCCAAATATTTATAAGGTTTTAAAAGGTTCTAAACATCATTTATAAGGTTTTTATAAGGTTTTTAAAAGGTTTACACACTTTTTATAAAGTTTTTAAATGATTTTTAAAAAGTTTTTAAAAGGTATTTATACGGTATTTATGAAATATATAAATTTACACACATATAAAAATAATTTGTGTCTAGAAATATAAGCTTACACATATGTTTTTTTTATAAATTTCTAATTTTATAATAATTTTTTGATAAAGTAAAAAAGAGGGATATTTTTAAAAAGTGGTATTGGAAAAAGATATTTTTGAAATTCCCCCATAAAATAAATCCATATTATTTTTTGTGGTAATTAATCCATAATTTTTATAGGCATGTGTGAAATGAGTAGTAATGTATAAAAAATAAAAATAGTTGAGGAGTTTGTCAATTTTGAAATTCCCACTGAGAATATATATTTGATCCAATAATGGAATTTCCTCTAACTTTTACAACTTTTTAAATAACCCTTAAATAAACGAAATTGGTCTGAAGTCACTCTGAACTCTGAATCCATAATTTTTAGGATTTTTTTTGTTTTTTTTTGTTTTTTAATTTCTTCTTGGGTCAATGCCTTCTCTCTCCCTCGTCTTTTCAGTTTCCCAGTTTCTTTAATTTCTTCCGTATTGTTTCTTCAAACATCTTCACAGTGGCGACATCACCATCTGTGAGCAAGTTTCATCATCATCATCTTCTTCTTCTTCTTCTTCTTCTTCTGATTTGTGTTTTCTTATTCCGGTGACTTGGGTTCAATCAGATCTCGTCTTTGGTTACTTCTGATCCGAAGCTGAATCTCTCTACTTGGAGGTAATTTCTCTACTTGCTGCTACTGAATCTTCTGGGTATTTCGAAAGATTTGATCTTTGTGCTTGTGAAGCTTACTCTTAACTTGGGTGGGTTTATTATTCTAAAGTTTCTTAACTTTGACCTGCTCCAAGTTCTATGTCAGCGACTTCTTCCATTTGCATCTTATCTTTCACAAAATTCGAAACTTGCTTAAAAGAGTAGTCTTTGTTGATTCTGTGACTTGTTTTGACCTCTTTTGATCTGCAAGTTTGGAGCTGATGATACTTACTGTCTTCTTTACTCTAGGGTTCTATTCATTTGGGGTATCTCTTGGTTTCCTTGGGACATCTCGTTGATTTGGAGTTTTGTTACTTCTAGTTTCAACCCACTGGAGATTTGAGCTGTAAGTTTCATGAAAATGGCTTCTTAATTAGTCTTCCAAGTTCCTTTAGAATCTCAAGTCCCAACACTGCGTTTATTTCTCCATAAGAACTTTAAATCATTTTTCATTCTTTGTGTTGTCTATGTAGATGCGAATTGGATATGATTTGGTTATGTTTTCGATTATTTTAGATCAAGCTGCCACCTTTTAGCTGCTTGCCTTTCGAACTGGAACTGAATTGGTTTAAAGTAAACATATGAGTCTTTTCCCAGTAAAGTTGTCTTGATATTGGTTAATGAAAAAATGTTACGCTTTGTGCTGAATTCTGTGTATTGTTAACAATGGTGGATCTATCTTATTGGTTATTGAACTAGAACAACGACCACCATTTTTCATTGAATTATTGATGTGGTAAAAGCTAGCGGAAATTAATCTTGTGATGTGATGATGACTATTACTGAAGTCCGAGTGATTCTATATTTCCTATTTCTCCTGTCTCATATTGCAAGCTTTCTACTCAGTTAGCTTTAAATCTTAAAGTTCACATGGTTATATGCTTGATAGTTATTATTCTCTCTGGTAGGTCCTAGCTTGCAATGAAACACGATGTCGTTGATTTAGAAGATGGGAAGACAGGAAAATCCGGAGATAAACCATTGCAAAGAAAGATACATAATCGGGCTTTGTTATCGGGTTTAGCTTATTGCATTTCATCATGCAGCATGATTCTTGTGAACAAGTTTGTCCTTTCCAGCTACAACTTCAATGCTGGGATATTTTTAATGTTATACCAGGTACGCTCGTTCGATTTCCCTAGCTCAACAAAAACCGTGGCATCACATTTTGTAGTGATATAACTATTGAAAATTTGTCAGCAATTTGTTTTGTAAAGATGTTTTTGTTTCATATTCTTACCCCTTTGTGTTGAATATTGCAGAACTTCGTCTCCGTGATCATTGTGGTGGTTTTGAACTTAATGGGTCTAATAACTACAGAACCCCTGACCTTGAAGTTAATGAAGGTCTGGTTTCCAGTGAATGTGATATTTGTTGGCATGCTTATTACGAGTATGTTTAGGTAAGAATATGTTCTACACCTTTGTTTCTATTGGTTTATAGATTTCATATTCATGCAAAATATGGGAAACTGGAAAGACTCTGAGATGTATACTATCTGCCTTCTCTTTCTGGTTTCTTATCCTTAAGCCCATTGGAAGATTGCTAAGTTAGTAAAGTTGGTAGGAGAGCCACTGCTTTTTGGAGTACTAGAGGTAGTTATACAAAACTGTACTTCATTTATTTGAGCTCTATAGTTAAACTTTACAGTAGATGGAGGATTGCATAACCTGTAGACACTGAGCTGGAACATATAGTTTTTCCATTCTAAACTGAGACATTCTTGATTTACCCCACAGTATGGATGATTTATATCTGTATCTTATATGAGTATGCAGACGACATTTGAAGCACAGAATGAACTTGATTATCAATTTCAAATGCATTTTTCTTTGACAGTTTGAAGTACATCAATGTAGCAATGGTCACTGTCCTGAAGAATGTCACTAATGTGATAACTGCTGTTGGTGAGATGTATCTATTCAACAAGCAACATGACAACAGAGTGTGGGCTGCTCTCTTCTTAATGGTATGTTGGTACGCTTTAAAAGTAGTTCAAAGTGATTCCGTACTTTTACCTGAGAGAACTATTCCCACGGACCCTATTCCAAGATACGTATAAAAAGCATATAAACTAGAGTTTTTGTGTGCTTGCACAGTTACAATCCTCCTAGAAGCCTTCAGTGATGTGGCATAGCCTAACCTTTCAAACTGTTGGAGATATATGTTTCTTTTACTGCTTCCAAAATTAGTCTACCAAGGAAATGTGATCATGTTTTTTTGTCACGGCTACTCATTATTATTATGTATTTTGTATTTCTTATAGTATAGATCTTGAATAAGTAGGAGCTAAAATTTTGTTTGCCTGCGCTTCTTTCGGCCCTCATTTGCAGATAATTTCTGCAGTTTCTGGAGGGATAACAGACCTATCATTCAATGCTGTTGGCTATGCTTGGCAGATTGCTAATTGCTTCTTAACTGCATCATACTCTGTGAGTAATCATTTGATCAGTTTTGGTTTCTTTTCTCAAAATGTTGGAGTCTTTTGAAGCAATAAACACAAATATGAGAAAGATAGCACTTAATAACCATGCTTACATGTCAAGCATTATATGTTGTTTGTTTAAGACTAAGTCAATAAACGAAATGGTTCTTCTTCACTATACTAGCACGTTACTGGCTTGATTTTGAGTTTATAGATACTGTTGAGATTCTGAGATTCTGGTACCTTAGAAAATATAATAGACTGCAATCAATTGTCATCAGTGAGCTGAGTACTTTAACTCACTGAAAAAGTAGGAATATCATGGTAGAGATAAGATTTTGGGGAAAGATTATGAATTCACATCATCAACTTCACACAAGGTTTTCATACCATTTCGTGATTTAGAAACGAACGTGTTTGGTTCCATTATTGCATGTCCATAAAAACCAAGGCCATGGAAAATTCTGCTACTACTTTTGAATAGCTTCTATATTATTGTTTTGCAGCTAACTTTGAGAAAGACCATGGATACAGCTAAGCAGGTTACTCAATCGGGAAACTTAAACGAGTTCTCCATGGTCTTGCTTAATAACACACTTTCATTACCACTGGGGCTTCTGCTTTCTTTTTCTTTCAACGAGATGGATTATCTGTATCAAACGTGAGTTCTGTCCTTTTTTCCTGTCAATGGAAAATGGTTAGTGTCATCTGAAAGCAAAATGGTTGTCGTATTATATTTGTGCAGGCCTCTTCTGCGATTGCCAGGTTTCTGGATGGTCATGACACTTAGTGGACTTCTAGGACTGGCCATTAGTTTCACTTCAATGTGGTTTCTTCATCAAACTGGAGCAACAACATACAGGTAGCGAATTAGGGAGAGACAGTGATAGAAAAACATGCTATTTCAAAACTATACTTTGGAGAGTGTTGCTCTGCCCAGTCTTTTCCATATATCCCTTTTCCATACTTGCATTATTGGTGGTTTATTCCTTCTAAACATACATTTTTCATTTTATTCAAAATTCAGCCTGGTGGGATCGCTAAACAAGATACCTTTATCCATTGCGGGGATTGTTCTTTTCAATGTACCAACCAGTTTACAGAACTCAGCAAGTATACTCTTTGGTAAGCGATCTCTTGATCAGTTCCCTTGTCCAACATCTTGAAGAAACACATATCATTTGTTTTGTGCATTAACCTGAGGTGCCTGAATTACAGGTCTAGTCGCTGGAGTTGTATTTGCCAGAGCCAAAATGAGGGAGAAGTCCTAATACCCTTCACAACTCCAACACATTTTCCTACATCAATCAGTATAGGACATGGCAAAAGATGACTAAAGCAGAGCAATGATTATATTTACAATACTGCATGTGTTTTTTGTAACTACTAAAAGCATTCGTCACTCTGTTTGTAGAAGACAATTAGTAAAATATTGATGAATGTATCGATTCTTGAGTGCTAAAAGATTTTTTTTTTACTTTTGTATGTGTTCTAACATCACCAAAGTCTCTGTATCATCATTTGCAGTTACATTTCTGCAAATATCTAGGAAATATTATGGCTCTTTGATTGGTGATCTCTTCAGATTCGAGTTGTAGAGTTGGCTTTACTTGTAAGTACTCTCTTCAGGTAACTGGATTGAGTAGCCATGGAAACATGTTGAAACTTTAATATGATAGAGAAATGTTTAATTGTACTTTCCTTCATACTCTCATTGATCTCGGATCAAGATAGCATTTTGTTTCTCAACAAGTTAGATGATGAGGAAAATTTTGCAGAGCTCTTAAGGTATCTGATTGTATTCTAAGCTAAAAAAAAAAAAGTCTGGTTTTGCTTTTACTTCCATGAACCAGACTTGTAAGAAAAAGAAAACCTTTGTCAATGCCAGTTTCTTGGTTGGATTAGTCTCCTTTAGAATGCTTGCTTCAAGATTCTTAATTTGTTTTGTAAACAAGGTCGTAGATTTTGCAAAAACCAAAGTTTCATCAAGATCAAACACGATGGCTAAGCATCGATTCATAAGCATCTTCAAACATGACTCGTAAAGACCACAATGAACACCCAGAAACAGGGGAAATTGTGATTCCTAGTCCGCATTGCAACTAAGGGCCTGACTGGTTTAAACGCAGCGGTTGCGGTTGCGGTTGCGGTTGCGGGAGTTTGCGGAAGCGAGCGGTTGCAGTTTCAAGCGTTATTAAGCGTTTTAAACGACTGATTTAGCTTTTAAAAATGGGTGCATTTGCGGGAGTTTTATTACTGGTTAACCAGCGGCTGCAATGGCAGTTACATCAAAAATTACAAAATTAAATATAAATATAATTATAAAAATGTATAAATATACTAATACTATATTATTATGATAAAATATATTGAAAAAATGAATATGATTAATAGCTAAAAACAATAAATAAATTACTGAATAATTATTTAAAATAGATTTTTTATAATAAAATTTATTGAAGTAAAAGTATAAACATTTTAAATATGATTAAAAATTACATACCATTATTATTACTAAGTATATATAGTAAATAATTATTCAAATGTTAAATAAATAAATTTTATAAGATTTGATAATATTGGAAAATTAAATTTAGAGAATAATTATTATTTGAGAATTAATGTGAAAATATGTAAGATTCGATAATATATATTTTGTTTTGCAGATTTTCTTTTTTCAGTTTCTTACCTTTTTTAAATCAATCGCAAACGCCGACAACCGCAAACGCTTGCGGAGAGGAGCTTTTGAAATCCAGCGATTTCAAGCGATTTCAAACGGTGTAGAGCGTTTTGTATGATTGGTACCAAACGCTAACAAACGCAATCGCCCGCTAGCAACCGCTAGACAGGTGTAGAGCGGGAGAACCAATCAACACGTAAGTGAACTTCCACATCGTTGCCGACTAAAACCACAACAGTCTGAAAAAAGTAAAAAATATCAAGAATCACCGTCTTAACCTAACCAGAAACATCTAAATCAACAAGTTAGCTAGCATGTTCACTAATATCTAAAAGACTTACCCTGAATTTGTTGTCACATACTTGCTGGAGTTCTAATATATTTGGGGATTATATGGAGAAGAAACCTCAAACTTGCAGCGCAAGGCAGAAGACCCGATTGCTTTTCAGAATTTAAAGAGGTGGATATTTTGCGTTATTGGTTGCAGAATTAGAGCCTGCCCATGGGCCAGGCTCATGAAACATTAGTTTGTGGCCCTCCATATTATAAATAAAATTCAGCCCTTTTCTTCATAATGTTTTTTTTATGGTTTAGTGATATATAAGTAGTTAAGTTATTAGTAAAAATATCCCAAGTTAGAATTGTTATTATTTTTGTTTGTTAATATTTTGTACGCAAGATTTTTTTTTATAACTTTTAATAATAACTTAAATTTTCTTCTAGTTATTATTATAAACATTAATAATCACCTAAATTTCTTGTGTATGTGTTCTTAACATTACAAACCATTATTCTAATGGAAAAATCAAATTACGCACATCAAAATTATAACTAAAAGAAACAGACAACAAGAAACATTTTTATTTTTCTGTCATCATTATTAGTTAACTAAATCAAACCCGCGCTACACCGTGGGACTACTTATAGTTTTTTTCTTTATTTAATATAAATATAATTCAAATTAATCATAATGATTTTGTTTGAAAATTAATTTAGTAAAATAGATGCGTGTCTCTCTTTCATAAAGTTAATTGACATAAAATAGTTTAATAAATAAAATTCAAAAATAATTAGAATGCAAATTCTTAATTTTAGTTTGAAGCTTTATTAATATCAATTATCAAATAATAAACTTGAATCAAGAGAACTGCAATTTGCAGCTTTGATTTTCAACCTCTTGGATTTTAAGTGGTTAAGAGATGGATAAAAATAATTGAGACTCAAGTTGACTTCCCCTTTTTTACTTTTAACTTATGAAATAGCTTTGATTCGATCGTTTCTTAGGAAAAAAGCTTCATCATTACAAACTCAATAGAGTTTTCAAGAGAATTTTTAATGCACAAGAATTTCTCAAGTTTTTTAATACGTATGCAAGTATTTCTTAATGTCTTTCCTCAAATTCTCGATTTAGTCATTTAATCTCCAGAGAATTTCTTTTTTATTTTTATTTTTATTTTGTTGATAAAATGATACATACCTTTCTTGATCTACTTAATTTCAAATGCAGTTTCCCAGAAATACTAGATTTTATTTAGATTTGAAGGAAAATATGAATAAAAAAATTAAAATGTTTATTAGTACCTGCAAATATTTTTGGATTTAAACATGCACATACTATAATATTGTTTTCTGGATTAATTTTGTGAAATTTTTGATGAAAGTTGGATTGTTTTTCAAGTAAAAAATGAATGTTAAATATTTTTGGATTGGGGTTAGATATTTCAAATTTGAGGTTAGATCATTTGGATTGGCGTTAGATATTTCAAATTTGAGGCTTGAACTTAAAATTTTTTCCATACCACTTCTAAATCATAACAAACTTCCCAAAATTAAATTTGAAGTTTAAAATGAATAGACTATTTTTTTAAGAAATAAAAAAATTTACCGAGCAAGTGAATATTTAAATATTCGTTAAACTTACGTGATCATGTATCATGTTTTGACCCGTTGCAAAATTATCTCTCTCTCCAAAAAAAAGTTATAATATTTAAATATTCTTTAAATTTTATGTATTTGAACCTCTTATAATTTTCTGTATATTATAATATTTGAAACTTTTAATTATATTATTTTGAAATGTTTTAAAAGTTTAAAGATGCTTATAACAACTCATCCCGTGGGACCCCGCCACAAGCGATGCAGCGCATCCACCCTAACCTCCTTTATGTGGGTCCAATATAGCCAACAACTCCTCTTTGGCCACATGTAGGTTATTGGTACACTTGGCGTTACTCGAACCCAATATCTCACCTTTTAACAACTTTCCCACCGGACAAGCTGTTACCAATTGAGAATACATATTCCATAGTTGTCTCTTTGTTCTAAAAATAATAGAGTATATTTTCTAGCATTTATTCATGTTCTAAACTTATTAGAATGCATATTCTAACGTTTTTTCCTATATTATATATATAAAAATATGTTTTACCTAATTTAGAATTTCTTTAATAAAAAGGAAATGAAAACTAATGATACACATGACAAACACAAAACTAAGGCATCAATCAGATTACCAAATCAACTATTTTAAAGCTTTCTTTTAAAACTAGAGGATAACCCGTGCTACTGCGCGAATGACATCGGTTCAATCGGTTCAAAAAGTTAATATATAAATTATAATTATATATATATATATATATATATATATATATATATTAGATTGTGTCTATTTCTCATATTGTAATTTTTTGATAAATCATATGTTTTTATTTCTGAACTAACTAGTCGGTTTGACAGGTTAATCTACGACTCGGATACTGGATATTTTTCCGTTTTCGGATTAATGGAAATAACCGATAATCTCATAACTAAAAAAACAATAAAAATTGTCGCTAACCCACGACCATATGAACCAATTGGCCCAGCCAGATCTTAGAAGTAATAATATTTGTATTCTTTCTCAAACGATAATACATACGATTAAAATTGGTTACCATAAAATTGATGTATTATTAGTGTTCTTTTGGTTTTATTTGAATTTTAAAAATTAAGCAATTTATTATTATTGTTAGACTACATATTTTGTTTAACATGATATGGTTATTTTTTATTTTTCTATTTATAAAACCGCATAATCTATATAAAAATAAATAAAAGCTTTTAATCTATTGACGAACCCGGTTAGCCTAGTGACCCGATGACCCGGTAGGTAATCCGGTTTAAAATCCTATTTGAGTTCAAGAACATTACATATATGTTTTTGAATTTTGACATGTATAATTTGATTGTATGTTATTGTGTAATTGAATACATTTTTTTTAAAACAAATATCTTTAGAAAAATTTAGTAGACTAATATTTGATGTTTCACCTAAAATATTTAAATCTAAATACTCTAAAGTTTCAATATTCATAATACTTTAAAAATTTTAAAAATTTAAATATTATAATATTTTGAAACTTTTTGAAACTTTTAATTTGCTCAACTAAAGAACTGAATTAAACCAAATAAAAATTTAAAATTTTGGACGCTTGAGAAATCAAGTTTCCTGTTTATTCATAGGTTGAAGTATATCAGTCCTATTTATAATGATTATGAACCAGTTTCTAAAATTTTATAGCCGATTTGGGACGTTTTACATCCTTTTTTGTTTTATCGATTGAGATATATATATGTCCGTTTAAAAAAATCAATTTCAACATATGCGGAAAAATTCTATTTTTTATTTATTCATATTTTTAATGTAATAAAATAAATAAAATATAAACAGGATCATAAGAATGAGAAAGGAGAATAATAATTATTTTAAATATATTATTAAAATAATTATTAAATTAGGTAGAGATATTTTAGGAGAATCAAAACTAAATATGAAAATGATATAATCTGCTAGAGAAATATCTGATCGTTATCCATACCCAAAGATCCGAAAATGATATATCCGATTAAGTGTATTTTATTTCAATTAAAAACTTTAGTGTAAATTTAATGGGTACTTCAGCTTTAATAATATAGATTCACATTGCACAAGTAGTCCAATCGAAGCAACAAAGCAAAAGACATAAATTCATGTATTTTTTTTTATTTTGTCAACATTTAGGCCACAACTGGCCAACCCATTAACCTAATCCCTATAAATATATAGGCTCCAGGACTCGATCCTTGTATGATGGTGTCTATCTCGATCCTTGTATAATGGTGTATGTCCATGGATTTAACATTTACCACTACACTAACTTCACTTCACCATAAATTCATATATTAAAATAGAAAATTTGTATTGTAGCAAAACGTTGGTTCATAACGAAAACGAGTCAGTCGAATTGGAGCAAGCCATCACACATTTAGTTTTATAAATTATCCAACAATAAGCACTCACAACATAAACTAAAGCCACCGAAGAATCAATAATCCACTCAAAGCTACTTCTACTACTTTACTTGACTTACTAATATTAGTTTATACTTGTTTTTACTTCTTCGTTTCTTTTGTTCAAGTTTAATACTAACTAGATTTCAACCCGCGGTTAAAATGACACGTATTCAACTGTGAGATTAATAATATATATTTTTTTAAATAATATCAACTTAAACCCGTTCCGTCATATAATATGTTGGAAGCATATTACAACATTTCCCGTGTTATACCCCGTAGTATCATATAATCGCCAAAACAACAAATCCATCTTTTAAAAAATAGCAAAGTCAATAATATTTTAGTATAAACTTGGTGTAGAGCTAAAATATTACTAACACTGAAACTTTTAAAATATTTTAAATATTTTAAACTTTACATGTAGTTAACAATCATACCGTCTTACAACCCATCTCGTCATATATTTCCCAAAAAATTAAAACCATGTTTATAGTCCCGTTATTCGTAATTTGAATGTTTTAATCTTATTTATAAAGATTCTGTTTATATGTAGTTACCAATCATTCCCGTCTTACAACCCATCCCACATACATTTCCCAAAAAATTAAACCCATGTTTATAGTCCCGTTAGTCGTAGTTGGAATGTTATAATCTTATTTATAATGATTTTGAACCATTATAAAAAAAAATTTGATATGGGATGTTATACATATGCTAAAACAATTTTTAATATATGTCCATTTTAAAATTTTCAAATTGCAATATATGCAAAAAACTGTTTTTTATTATACTATGTTTTATGTAATAAAATAAATTTTAAAATGTTAATATAGATTATTAGCATAATATGCAGATATTTTTAGGATTATACAATGTATAATAAATATATTAACAGTTTTTATTTTTGAATAATGTGCATAGAGAGATTCACGGAGAATAGAATTTACCAAAACGATTTTAGAATTAAATAGTCAAAGCTTGGTGTCGTATCTGTTTTGTTATTTGTTAAGTTGTTGATAGAAAAGTTTAATATAATAAATGCAGTGGCAGGACACTGTAAATAGGACAAAAGATACCTACCTACACGCAATATGCTACAATGCATGACCATACATCCGAACTTTTCCTTGTTTCATAGTTGGTGTATTTAGGTATCTTTTTTCCTTGTAAATAAGTTCAAAGTCCAGGATTTATTTCAAATAGTGCTGCAAAAATGTTAATATATATATTTTTAACTACTGTCATATATCATGTCAAATTAGTAAATTACTTCTTAGAAAATGCTTATTGTATCTTCTAATGAAATACAATTTTTTATTTCTTCCAATGGAATACAATTATTAATCTTGATTGTTGATGTTTTGCAAGATTTTTTTAAGAAATATATGCCCTACGAAAATTTAAATAGTTTTGCAAGATTTTAAAATATGAGGGTATAATGGGATTTTAATTATATTAAAGCATAAATGAACAAACATTAATATAGAACTAGGTTTTAACCCGCGGTACACCGCGGGACGATTGTTTTGACTAAAAAATATATATATTTAAGTTATATTTGTTAATTTTATTACCTTTTTAGTGTTTAAGATTGTGTAATTGTATTTTTGATTGTTATTTTTATTACTTAACTCGCGGGATATTGTTCTGTAACTGGCGGGACTAAAAAAATTATGTTTAAGTTATATTTGTTATTTTTTTTTGTTATGTTAACCTGTAAGATAACCCGTAAGAAAAACATAAAACTCAAACCCGTTAAATCATATTTATGTAAAATATAAACCTTGAATGGTTTATAGATTTTGAGAGAGATTTTGGTTTTAGTTTTCCAAAAAACTCATTTTTATCCAATCAAGATTTTAAAATTTTGGATTCCCTAAAATTTAGTAATTTTTTTTTTGTAATCTTTCATTCAAGGTTTTGGTTTTTTAAGTTACATATTAGTCATATTTATAATGGTTCTGATTCATTGTCTAAAATTTTGTACCCGATGTGGGACATTATACATATATGTAATGATTTAAATTTTAAAACAAATAAGATCATATAAAGATATTGGAGAGATATTCAATTTATTAGGGAGACATTTTAGGAAATTTTGTTAAATGTAATAAATATTAGTTTCTAATTTTGCGATTCTGGTGTAATTTAATTACAAATTTTATCTTAAAAGTTTGTTATTTATTTAAATGGCAAGGATTTATTATGTTGATAAAAAAAAAGGTTATTTTCCAAAAGGTACTTCAAAAATGTTAATATAGATGCATAGATGGACAATAATTTAATTATTTATCCTTTATTTCCAATTTTCCCTTATATTTATGGGACATAAATATCAATTATTATGAGTATATTTAGGAAATAATTGTCTGCTTATAATATTTTTAATTTGGTTATAAAACAAACAATATTAAAACAATTCAATGTGTTTATAATTTGATATTGATGTAAAACAAATTTTAAAAATACAAATTGTAAGTGGACATGCTGTAAGTATAATCCCACGGTACATTTTGTCATATAATCACCCAAAAAATAAATCCATGTTTAAAAAAATGGCAAAGTCAATAATATTTTAGTATAAACTTGGGGTAGAGTTAAAATATTAATAACACTTAAAATTTAAAAAAGTTTTAAAATATTTTAAATATTTTAAACTTTATATGTAGTTAACAACCATTCTCGTCTTACAACCCGCCCCATCATATAATCCCCAATAAATTATACCCATATTTATAGTCCCCGCATTCGTAGTAGGAAGGTTAATCTTATTTATAAAGATTGTGAACCATTATCAAAAAAGTTCTACTCCATTCAGGATGTTGTACATATGCTATAAAAAATTGTAATAGACGTCAATTTAAAAAATTCAAATTGCAGTATATGCAAAAAAAATATTTTTATTATACATATGTTTTATGTAATAAAATAAATTAAAAAACAAATAAGATCATATGAAGATTTTGGAGAAATATTTGAGAAAAGGTGGGAATAAGAAATGGTGTTTTAGGGAGAGAATTTATGAATTCTTTTAAAAATGATTAATACTCCCTCTGTTTCATTATAAGTGATGTTTAAGGTTTTGACACACTAAATAATAAAACATATAACTTACCCATTTTCCATAAAAACATCATTAATTACTTTGAGTTCAACCAATAAGAAAATATGATGTAAAATATAATTGGTCAAAAAATATTAAATACGTTAAATTTTTGCATAGGAAATTGAAACATCAATTATACTGAAACAAAAAAAATTGGCTAAAACATCACTTATAATGAAACAGAGGGAGTATTAGTTTTTCAAATTTTTACTAAATTATAAATTTTAGTGGCATTCTTTGTAAATAGTTTCAAAGTCCAAGAATTATTTCAAAAAGTGCTGCAAAATGTTAATAAAGATTTTTTTTTTTTTTTTCATAAATTCTTTTGGATAAGAAATAGTGAAATACTTAACTAAGAAGAGCCATATTGCATATTATTGCAAACTTTCAAAAATGTGAAATGTCGAAATGTAGTACTGTACCACCAAGCACAATGTCTACCCTAACCAGGCCCGGCCGTCTACACATGCCCAAGACACATATGTATTGGTCCCCAATTATTAATTTATTTTTGTTTAAAAAAATATGCCCCATTTAAAAAAATGTTGTATACATAGTCCCCGTTCTTTTTAAAATCTTTAAATTTTGTATAAATTTTTAACTTCTATCTATTTGTTATTGCAAAAACAGGCTTGAGTTTCCTAAAGTTTTAATATTTAGTCTTAATATTCTTAGTGTTATCTATAAAATCCATCCAATTTTTTTTTTTTTGGTTTGTGGCCCCAAATTTGACATGCCTGGCCGTGACCCTAACTTCTGTTCTCTAATACAAATGTTTAAAGACAACACAAAATAATTGAAGAGTTGCATATTTTGGAAAAATGTTTATTAAAAAACACAATAAACTCATCTAAACTTCTAACAAGTAACAACAACAATGTAGTTTTGAATGTCACATGGACATACAATTACATGCAAAACATCTAAAACAAATTAACGTGAAAATTAACCAGTTTTTGGTAATTAAACACCCAAACTTGGACGTGTTAATTAAACCAACTTATAGATTTCTAAATTACATTTATAAAGAAAGACATAGTTATATAGTTACACAAGATCTGAATATTTGGCTAATTAATCAACGTGGGTTCTCTAAAACATAAGTGGACTTTGTTTCATGTGAGTTTATAGGACTCTCAGGCAAATCCATGTCATCTTCTTGTGTCCATGACCCAACATACTGTTGAACCACAAGAACTGACACAGTGGCTGCAAAGTCTGATGAAGCAAGCAAATCTCCAATGGCACCAAGCTCAGGACACTCACTCCAATCAGTTAAACCAGCTAAGAGAGGAGATGACATACCTTCTCCTCTTCCAACTATAAACAGATCATGAGAACTGTCCATTGATCTCACTGCTGCAACGGTCTCTTCACCATTGGCCACTAGTTTTTCTATATATACAACTGATTCAAAATCTGCATTTGATGTCCTGAATGCATTGATGTACTCATCATCAAACTGTCTTTGCTTTTTATGGTCCATGTTCATCTTTGGTATCTTTAGGTCAGTGTCATTGGTCGCGCGCATTGAAGCTGTTTCTAGTTCATCTTGGTCATGGATGAAACGTAAAACGGTTAAAGAGATCCCTGGATGTTGAGCCATTCTCCATGCATAGGCTAAGGCTTCTCTGTCGTCTGGACCGCCGAAAAACAGAACAGCAACTTGGAGTGAGACAGTGTTTGTGTTAAGTCTTGTGGCTCCATTGAGTCCTCTGTCTACGAGTATTCCAACGGAACAAGGCGAGTTTTCGAGTAAGTTTTGGTTGACTAAACGGTAGGCCGGGTTGGTAGCTTCCATCCCTCCATCAACTGTTTGTTGTTTGTGAAATGGTATGATTATGAAGGAGACACGTTTGTCTTCTGCTAAGCTACAAACATCTTCATGCATTGTTGAGTAAGGGGAAATAGCTGTTAAAGGTTGAACAGCAACAAAGGCAGCATGTTGTTCGTAGTTTTCGAAGGCGTTGATGATGTGATCTGATTGAGCTTGTGTTCTGTTAAGTGCCGGTCGTCCTGATTTACGAGTGTTATGGACAATTAGCATTGCGGATGCTCGTCCCGTGAGCTCAACAAGGTGGAGAACGTAGATGCATATAGGAGATCTCTTTGTAGGATGTGAAGCTTCAAGAAGGTTGATTATAGTAGGAACATTACGCGGTGTGTGGACGCAAACCAATACTCGAAACTCGCTGTCTGGCTTCGTCTGTTGGACTGTTCGTCTTTTGTATGAAACAGATTTCTTCACTGGCCTATAAAGGACAGTTACAATAGGAGTGATGACTCCAGTCATAACCAAGGCCACTAGTACCATGGTTGCAAATGTCTCATCATCCAAAACCTTTTGGTCTTTTCCAACATTGAGCACAATCATTTCAACAAGACCTTTGGTGTTCAAGAGTAGGCCAAGAGTGATCCCTTCACGAACTGGCATTCCATGGAAAAACGCAACGATAACCGTACCGATGACTTTTCCAGCACAAGCTAGAAAGATAACAAAGAAAAGAGTGGCCCAAGTGGCAGGACCTTGGATGGAAGCTATATTAGTCTTGAGACCACTTATAGCAAAGAAAAGAGGTAAAAGAAGGCCAGAAACAAAATCTTCAAGTTTCTCAATGAGGGTTAGACCAAGAGGCCCATTGGGAATCACAAGGCCGAAGACAAAGGCTCCAAAGACTGAATGTGTTCCAATTGCATCAGTAATAAAACCAGAGATCATAACTCCTGTCAAGATGAGGCATATATAGAACTCACTAAAGTTCTCTCCTTCAGGGGTTTTTCGTATGATCCAAGTGATGCCTGGTCTAACAACAAAGACGCAAATGGCGATGAAACCTGCACTAGAGATCATGACCCAAAGGGAAGCAAATGAAGTTTTGTCACTCTCAGCCAATGCAATGGCTAAGGCAAGAAGAATCCAAGCAAACATGTCATTAACCAAGGCTGCAGACATTGATATCCGTCCAATCTCGGTATTTATGAGCTTTAGCTCAGCGAGAATCCTCGCAAGTACCGGGAATGCAGTAACGGAGAGTGCAACACCAAGGAAAAGTATATAGGTTCCTTGCCCCAAGTGATCTTCTGATCGGTGCATAGAGAAAGAAAAGGCAGCACCAATGAGGAATGGTAAGACCATACCACCAATAGCGATAGTTAAAGCTCGCTTTCCCGTCTTGCGAACCACCATGATATCCATCTCTACACCCACCAGGAAAAGGAAGTAGAGTAAACCAACATTAGCCATTGTTTCAAGTACCATCACACTTCTTTGAGGGAAGATGGTGTGTGCAAATTTTTGTGAGCGCCCAAACACTGATGGCCCTAGCACAATTCCACCCTGAACATTAAGATTAATAGATATGTTTTAAAATGTTAGCAATGTCACATTCGAAATTATTAAAAAAAACTTAAAGAGTAATATTAAGAATATGTGTTAATCCATTTATCTTCCTTTAAATAATATTTGTTATAATCTACTTATCGTCAATTGGTTTTGAGTTCGAAAACTTCTTTATTAACATAAGAAGAGCCTTTGTGGTCTTTACTCACAAGGATCTCAGAGATAACGCGAGGTTGGCGAAAGGGCTTGAGGATAAAGACGAAGAAACGAGTGACGACGACAACCAAGGTAAGCTGAAGAACGAAGAGCGGTAGCGAGAAATCGAGAGGGTTATCGCCTTGCCAAACTCCATTGGTGGTGATCATGCTAGGTGCATAACATATTATAGAAGCCTCCGCACCATTTTCTTCACTTGTAGCCATTTTGAGATCCTAAGAAAAACTTGAAGATTGAAAAGGTTTGTTGTGTGTTAATTTGGAGGAATATACATACATACGCATTAAGGCCATATGAGAGGAAAGGAAATGGATTCAAAGTTGGTGGTGTTCCGTGTCATCCTCTTTGCTCAACGAGTCTTCATCATTCTATTTTTGGTCTTCTTTTCTTTTATTAGAAACAATGAAAAAAATATTTTCAGGTGATTTGCTAACCATCATTTTAAAAAATAAAATTCTTGATGGTAAATTAAACATGAGTATATGGCATGAATAAATATAATCTCTTTTATAAAATGTGTTTTGTAGTTTTTTTCCACACAAAATGTAGAGTTTATAGTCATTCATAGAAAGAAAAAGGACAAAATTTAGTCACCTATTTTCTAAAAAAGTTATGGAATGAATAAGAGAATCATTAAAAGTCTGATAAATTAAAAAAATATGATCACATATGTAACATATATAAGCAACAAATATCAAAAATACTTGGGTTCACTCCTATGGGTGAACAAGAGTTGTTCACCCCCTCTTAATTAGCCAATCAAAATACAACAATATGCCACGTCATTTTTTATTTATAAAAGTAAATCAAAATTAAAATTAAAAAACAAATCAAATTATGGAAACAAATTCTGTAGAATTTTTATTAAGGAAATATAGTTCAGTTTCGGTTTATAAACAAAAATACTTGGGTTCACTCTTAGGGGTGAACCACTCTTGTTCACCCACTCTTAATTAGCAAATCAAAATACAACAATATGCCACGTCATTTTTTATTTACAAAAGTAAATCAAAATTAAAATTAAAAAACAAATCAAATTATGGAAACCAATTCTATAGGATTTTTATTAAAGAAATATAGTTTAGTTACGGTTTATAAAATAGTGGTTAAGGTTTAGATTTTGTAATTAAACAAAATTATATTTCGGTTCGGATTGACAAATTAGCGGTTAGGGTTTAGATTTTGTAACTAAACGAAATTATATTTCGGTTTGGGTTAAAAAATTAGTGGTTAGGATTTAGATTTTGTAATCAAACAAAATTATATTTCGGTTTGGGTTGACAAAATAGTGGTTAGGGTTTAGATTTTGTAATTAAACAAAATTATATTTCGGTTTAGGTTGACAAAATAGTGGTTATGGTTTAAATTTTGTTTGGATTTATAAAAGAATGGTTAAAGTTTGTTTTATTTTTTATTTATTTTTTAAATATAAACAAAGTTGGTTCACCCCTATGGGTAAACCCAAGTATTGCTCGATATTTTTTGTTTACGACAATGGCACTACGAATAATGAAAGATCACACATATATATATCCATCATAGTATTGTTACAATTTTGGTAGACGTATATTCACTAATTATTCTTTTGAGGTGTCAAGTTTTTGTTACAACCCCAAAATATATTTGTCATTACAATTTTGGATGTTTAACTTGTCAAAAAACAAAAGAATTCTGAAAATAAATATTTTCTTTCCTTGAAGACGTCGGCAAACTTTTTTAACAAAAATATAAATTCATTTTCATGAAAATCAAAAATGAGTGAAGTCAATCACAAAGTTTTATAATAAAGATTTACAAATATGGAAGTAAAAAATGAATAAATAATGTTTGTACAAAAGGAACACGTGACTCTTCATTTCTTGGAAAAGTTACAGAGAAGCGAGAAGAACAATGGCATGTGAACCAAAAACCACACTCTCTTTCTCTATATGCTATAAGAAAACAATGGCCCGTGACAAAACTTAACATTTTCAACTCTCTTCACACTTAAATCCAATACAAGTTTACAGAAGTTGAGCTGTCTTTTGAACCATTATGTAATGACCAATCCATAATACTAATCAAAGTTTTATTATAATAAACCACACAAGACAACATATATAATCAATGTTCTATTACTTGTCTTTTTTCTTAAAGCTACTATAGCATTAGAGAAAGAGAGAAAAAGAGAGAGAGAGAACAAAGCTTCTTCATCAAATGGAGAAGGAAGGTTGTGAGATTGAAGCTTTAGGTATCGATTATAACATCTTTGAAAGGAAGATTAATGTTGATCCTTTCGGGTTCTTTACTCAGAAACCGCGGCCGGAAGCTGACCAGACGGTTAAGATAGAGGAAGAGTCGTGGAAGCTAGAGGATGGAACTGGCAACAAAGTCAAGCATGTACTTAAAGGAGTGACTTGTAAAGCCAAACCTTGGGAGATTCTTGCCATTGTTGGTCCAAGTGGTGCAGGGAAGTCTTCTTTGCTTGAAATTCTAGCTGCTAGACTCATCCCTCAAGCCGGGTCTGTTTTTGTTAACAAGAGACCTGTGGATAGAGCCAATTTCAAGAAAATCTCTGGTTATGTCACTCAGAAGGATACTCTGTTTCCTTTGCTTACGGTGGAGGAAACCCTTCTGTTTAGTGCTAAGCTGCGTTTAAAGTTCCCTGCTGATGAGTTGAGATCACGGGTTAAGTCGTTGGTTCATGAGCTTGGGCTTGAAGCTGTAGCTACTGCTCGTGTTGGAGATGATAACGTTAGAGGGATATCGGGTGGAGAAAGACGCCGTGTCTCCATAGGAGTTGAAGTTATTCACGACCCCAAAGTTTTGATCCTTGATGAGCCGACCTCTGGTCTTGATAGTACTTCGGCTCTGCAGATCATAGACATGCTCAAGCACATGGCTGAAACACGAGGTCGGACCATAATTCTGACTATCCATCAACCGGGATTTCGGATAGTCAAACAGTTCAATTCTGTTCTTTTGTTGGCCAATGGCTCGACCTTAAAGCAGGGCTCGGTGGATCAGCTTGGAGTGTACTTACAGTCAAATGGTTTGCAACCTCCACTCCATGAAAACATCGTTGAATTTGCCATTGAATCAATCGAAGCCATCACAAAACAGCAACGTCTACAGGAAACCAGAAGAGAAGCTCAAATCCTAACATCACAAAAAACATTACAAGAGAAGAGATCAGAAGAAAGTCAAGGGGAGAGCAGAAGTGGCAAATTTACACTACAACAGCTGTTTCAACAAACAAGGGTCGCTGATGTAGGAACAATGAATATAGCATCAGAGTTCACTAGAGATTTTGCAAATTCAAGACTGGAAGAAACTATGATACTCACCCACAGGTTCTCCAAGAACATTTTCAGAACCAAGGAGCTTTTCGCTTGCAGGACTGTTCAGATGTTAGGTTCAGGAATTGTCCTAGGTCTGATTTTTCATAATCTCAAAGACGATTTAAAAGGTGCACGAGAAAGAGTCGGGCTCTTTGCATTCATATTGACCTTCCTGCTTACTTCAACAATAGAGGCACTCCCTATATTTCTGCAAGAAAGAGAGATTCTGATGAAGGAAACATCCAGTGGAAGCTACCGAGTGTCCTCATATGCTGTCGCTAATGGACTTGTTTACTTGCCATTTCTGCTCATCCTAGCTATTCTATTCTCCATCCCAGTGTACTGGCTGGTGGGACTGAACCCTAATTTCATGGCATTTCTGCACTTTTTGCTTCTAATATGGTTGATCCTCTACACAGCAAACTCAGTGGTTGTGTGCTTTAGTGCTCTGGTTCCAAATTTCATTGTTGGAAACTCAGTGATTTCTGGAGTGATGGGTTCCTTTTTTCTGTTTTCCGGCTACTTCATATCAAACCATGAGATCCCTGGCTACTGGATTTTCATGCACTACATCTCCTTGTTCAAGTACCCGTTCGAGGGATTTCTGATTAACGAGTTCTCCAAATCAAGCAAGTGTTTGGAGTATGGGTTTGGAAAATGCTTGATGACAGAGGAGGATCTACTAAAAGAAGAAAGGTATGGAGAGGAAAATAGATGGAGAAACGTTGTGATCATGCTATGTTTTGTCTTGCTCTACAGGTTCATTTCCTATGTGATTCTGCGGTGTAGATGTTCACAAAGAAGTTTTAAAACCACTCTTGTTTAATAAATATGGTAACATTATATATCTTTTCTGAAAAACATTGGGTTACAGGTTTGTTAATGTGTTTAAATATTTACTTCGTACTGCAGCCAAAGATGTTAAAGAAAGTGTTGTTTATGCAAAGGGAAATTTCTATTGATTCTATTTCCTTAAGTTTTTTCAAGTAAAGAGAACAAATCCAGCAAAAAGCACTTACATGGCATTGTCCCAAAGAAGACTAGACGATAGTAATCCTGTTTCGGCATGATCTTGTTCCTGTCTCATCTCTGCTATTAGAATATCAAGAAGTGAGTGTATCTGCTTTTTTCGAGGATGCCTTTTGTCTTTAACCATGAAAACATGAGAATGTCCTCGTATATCTATCCAACTACAGCCTGGCTGCTTCGTGACACCCTCTTTCTTCATTAACTTTCGTACATTCATCACATCCTCCCATTTTCCGACCTCAGCGTACATGTTAGAAAGAAGAACATATGGTCCTGAATTTGACGCCTCCACTTCTAGAAGCTTCTCTGCAACGTATTTACCTATCGTGATGTTTCTATGTACTTTACAAGCAGCAAGCAGTGAACCCCATATAACAGAATCTGGTTGCATAGGCATCTCCTCGACCATGCTCTTTGCTTCTTCGAGAAATCCGGCTCGCCCAAGTAAATCAACCATGCACGTATAGTGATCCCTAAGAGGAGCCACACCAAAATCTCTGGTCATGGAAGAAAAGTAGTGTCGTCCTTCTTCAACAAATCCAGCATGTCCACAAGCAGAGAGAACACCGATCATGGTAACGTGATCTGGTTTTTCTCCAGAATCAAGCATTTCTCTGAACAACTCAAGAGCCTCATTTCCATAACCATTCTGTGCAAATCCAACTATCATCGCGTTCCAGGAAACACAATCTCTTTCCATCATCTTCCTAAATACAAGATAGCCATCTTCTACACAACCACATTTTACATACATATCTATCAAGGAATTGCCAACAAATATATCAGCTTCTTCACCAGATTGAAACTTAAACCCATGCTTCAACACATGGACGTGAGCCTGCATACCTAGATGTAACTCTGCAAGATCTGCACATGCCTTGAGTATATTTGCAAAGGTATAGTGGGTCGGGCATACTGATTCCCTCTTTAAGAGACAAAAGAGACTTAGTGCTTCTTCGTTTTCCCCGTTTTGCGTATAGCCAGAAATTAGCGCATTCCATGAAACAATATTCCTCTCCGCCATTTTGGTAAACATGAGTCTAGCTGCCTTAGTGCTTGCAGCCATAGCGTACCCACTGATCATGGAAGTTTCTGCAATTACATTTCTGATAGGCATGCTATCAAATATGAACCTAGCTTCACTTATTTTGCTGCACTTTGCATACATATCCACAAACGCATTGGTTAGAATTATGTCATTCCTTAATTTATCGTTTTTAACAACACGGCCATGAACTTCCTGACCAACCTTAATCGCCGACAAGCTTGCACATGCACTAATCACACTTGCTAATGTAACCTCATCTGGCTCAACCCAAGATTCCAACATCACTTGGAAAACCTTAAGAGCTTCCACCGCAGGACCATTTTGTTCGTAGCATGTAATCAAACTATTCCAAGAAACAACATTTCTATCACCCATCTCATCAAAAACCCGCTGAGCATCATCAACATCACCACATTTCGAATACATATCAACAAGAGCAGAACCTATATACACATCTGACAAACAAGGCGACTTTGCAATCAAAGAATGTATCTGTACCCCCCTATTCATATCATTCAAACCCGAACAAGCGCTAAGACCACTAGCAAAACTATATTCATTCAACACAAACCCTTCCTTATGCATCATACCAAAATAACACAAAGCCTCTTCACATCTATCATGCTGAGCAAAACCCGAAACCATGGAATTCCAAGTACACTGATCACGTTCAGGAACTAACCAGAACAAAGAATCAGCTTCATCTAAAAACCCTAACTTGGTCAAAGCCGTCAAAACAGAGTTCCAAGTGTAAACATTTCGTTCAGGCATTTCGTCGAACACTTGGCGACCATCGTCAAGCGACCCACATTTCCCATAAGCGTCAATGAGACGGTTCTGTATAAAGGTTTCATTTTTGAAACCGGATTTGAGAATACAAGCATGGACACAACGGACATCAGTTGCTGATAACTTGGTTCGGATGCATGAATCAAGAAGCTTTGCGAATGGTGAAGAATCCGTGAGAGAAGAGAGATCAGCAGCGAGTTTGAGAAATAATTGTCTTGTCATTACATTATCGTCGTTTGCAGAACATTGAACATGAATCTTGTTTCTCTCTAAACATCTTTGTGTGTGGGATTTTGAGTGGAGACGCAAGTAAAAGGCGCGGGTTTCTTATGAATCAGATAATGCTCAACCGTACATAACCGGACCAAACTGCTCGACTATTAACCGTACCGAACCGGGATAACTGGACCAAAAATATAAAATATTTAACTTTCATATTTATAAAACTATACTTTAAATATTAAATACACTATAATCTAGAGATATGTAATTAAAGAGTTCCTTCCTGTTAAATACCCGCCTAAATCCGATTAATTTAATAAATAACCTTCAAATTAGTTTCTGACTAATCTTTGTTTAATTTCCGAATTTATGGTTAGGCGCTTGGCCCACTTTAACTGCCCGACTAGCGCCTAGCGATTTTAAAACAAGTCCATACCATGTATGATATATGTCCACCTAAGTATCCATTAAAATAACACTTTTTCATCTAATTTTAAGTATATTTAGTATATATTAATGTTACTTATATTTAATATAAAATTTCATTAAATAAGAAAAATATTAAATTAAACAATTGGAATTAAAAAATGGAAAAAAAATTATCAATAATAATTATAATATTTAAATTTAAATGAAAATAAATTTTGACAAGATCATACTTCAAGTTTTTAAATATGTTAATGAAATTAAGAGTAGAAGGAACTATTAAATATATGATAGAGTAAAAAGAAATTTATGTGACTGTATACACAAAAACTATAAACCAGAAAATAAAATTTAACTTATTAGAAGTTGTTAAGACCACACAGCTAATGCAGAGAAGTTTATAGACTTAAAGTGATCTAGGTTTAAGATTGTAGTTTGAGAAGTCATTGAGATCGTACTCCGTGGATTAAGGGTTTTAAAACATGATTTATAATTAGTTATCAGATACAATTAGTATTAATGTGGTTTTATAAGTTTGTGAAGTAATTAAAGATAAGAATATCACTACTTGATGTAATTTAGCGATAGGATGAAATATGTGGTCCCTTTATTGGTGTAAGTGTAACTTAATGAACTCTAACACACAAAATAAAGATTCATTGTTGCTTCCAAAGACTAGTATTGGGTTCCTCTGAAAATAGAAACATGTCTCACAACTGACGGGAAAAGTATTTTTTCCAATTTAAATCGGTTATCTTTTTTTTTTTGTTAAACTTGTAGCTAGCTTGGTCATCATGTCGTTCTAGAAACTGCTTTTGATAGTAACGAGATGAATATAGTATAGATATAAATTAGACGAGTTCCAATTTCCAATACGTTATATTTATAAGAATTGAGTATTTTAAAATAAAATTTAATATTTAGTATTCTAAAATTAGTATAAGATTTTAGTATATAAACAAAAAGCTATAACAACTAATTTTGAAACCACGAATTGATTAAGAAAATGACCCTAAACTTGAAATGAATACAAAATTGATCCTTTATACTGGAATTGAATAAGAAAGCCAATGAAGCATAAATAAAAGAGATAGAGAAGTCAAAGAAAATGGTATGTACGTACCTTTATCATTAGTGTGTGAGTATGTAAGTAAAAAGGAAGAAAAAAGATTTGAATGGGTGGAGAGAGAATGTAAGATTTTAGTTAGGTTAAAAATTTGTTAATAAGGGAAAGCTTGAAGGCCAAAATGGAACAATATTTACCCAATATCACACCAAATTTGGAAAGTGACTTAAAGTGAGATTTTTTTTGAGTATGTGACTATGTGTGCAAATAATCCTTATTAATAGTGTGTGAGTATGTAAGTGAAAAGGAAGAAGAAGAAGAATTTGAATGGGTGGAGAGAAAATGTAAGATTGTAAATAGATATCAAATTGGTTAATAAGGGAAAGTTTGAAGACCAAATTGACACAATATTTACCCAATATCACACCACCAAGTTTGAAAAGTGACTTAAAGTGAGAATTGTAATTAGTTACCAAATACAATTAGTATCAATGTGGTTTTATAAGTTTGTGAAGTAATTAAAGATAAGAATATCATTACTTGATGAGTTCAGCGATGGGAAGAAGTATGAGATCCTTTTATTGGTGTAAATGTAACATAATGAACTATAACACACAAAATAAAGATTCATTATTGCTTCAATCCACTAGTAATTGATTCCTTTTAAAATAGAAACATACCTCGCAACTGACAGGGAAAAGTACTAATATAAAGAAATTATTGGTCTATTTGGCTTTGTCATAAAAATAGACCAATAATTTTATATTGGCACTAGAGTTGTAATCTTTGGTCATAAAGTGTATTCAACATTTTTTCTAATATAAATATGTATTTGTCTAATCTTGTTATATATTCATCTAAAGTTAATTTTGTATTTTATAAAAGCTGAATGATATAGTCACCTACAAAATGTTGAAAAATATGGTTACAATAATTAACTGTAATCAAAACACCAAAAGACAAAGATTCCGAATTCATACATTCCAAATTCGTTCAATCCAAACACATATAAAAGACACAGAAAAACATAAGAAAACCAACGTTATAAGAGGTTTCTTTGACCAATCTTATGTATTTTTGTGAATAAAAATAAATGGCAAATGATTCATTATGTTAAGGATTGGCTCTTAATTAAGAGACAATCCATTAATGGTGCTCTAGTTTTGTTTAATATTAATACATACAACTTTCGCCAAACATACATAAACATAAACATATAAAAAAGATATGCATAAATGATTTCTTCACGTTTTCACTCTTAGCCAAAAATCATCTCTTCCAATTTCTTCACGTTTTCACTCTTAGCCAAAAATCATCTCTTCCAAGAATTACATCAAACACTTTGTTACTCTTAGAACTCTTTCTTCCTATCAAACAACGTCTCTTCCAGCTCAGGACTGGTCGCATGATCTTCTGGATACATTCTCATTTTCATAAGCATAATCATAAGAAAATCCTCCATGATTTGTTATATCAATACCAGCCACCTCTTCCTCTTGAATCTATGAAACCCATAAAACAAGGGGGCTATTATCAACTTCATCCAAGAAAATATGACAATTATTTCAACTCTCTGTGCTAATATCATCATCAAAATACACCTCATTCACAAACTTCTTGATAGCGAATAGTTCAGTGAAGAGTAATCCCCATACACCACAACCACCATGCAGCTGCGTAGCATTAAGAGGGTCTTCATATTTAAGTTTCTTAACTAGTTTATCAATTCCAATCTTCACCCATGCAGCCACAAGGCCACACAATACCAGCCGAGGGTATTAATAATTTTTATTAATTTGAACCCCTTCATTTTTTGTATTTATTATTATTATAATTTTCGAAATTGTTTTAAGACTCTCATTAAACACACCAATGGACATTTATAAATAAGACGTATTCTTAAACTAAGATCTACACTAAAGGTGAAATTTTCTAAAAGCTTCTCTAATATATCCTCACATATAAAACTTGATCTTTTTGAGCTCGAGAGGGAAAGAGGAAAAGTGAAAGAAAATGGCGTTGATTTTTTCAATTTAGGGATTTTGAAATAAAAAAAAATATATAATTAATTTAGTATAAAAATCGGGTGGGGAGAAAAATTAAAACATATATCTGTTTCATGCATATGTATGATTCACCATAATCAACTCCATTTACTTAACACAGCTTCATGCACTAACCATACTCGCTATTGTTTTTGGATAATATTCAGTACAAATTATTTGAAAAATTAATTCCAAAATCGCAAAATCATAATATAAAAATGATATATTTGTAAGAAAAAAAATCTTAAAATGCATTTTATCACTTGTAAATTAAAACTTATTAACAATAACCCGATAATGTTTGATTCTAGTTATAATATAAAGCAAAAGCTAAAATTCATATCTGAGATAGATTAATGGAGGGCAAAATAAGAGAGACAATTTAAGGAAATGAAGTTGGGAAAGCATTAATGGTGGAAATTTTGCGGCAGAGAGAAAAAGCATTTAAAATGAATATTTTTTATTTGATCTGATCCATTTATATAATGTCTATTAGATAGGATAACAAATCTTGATTAGTATTTTTGGAGTACAAAAATTGACCACCCTATTGGCCATCAGATATTACAACTCACACCCTTACTATTAAAAGTTAATCCTCACTCATTAAGGATAAAATTATAATTTCAAAAATCGGGTCGGTTATAATTAATGGGACCAACCCGATTTTAAATACTCGATCTATCAGCTTTTTATTAAACGTTTGGAATTATTGGGCTATTACATACAGGTTTTAAATAATTTTAAGCCCACTAAATATATATGTTTTAATCGAAAGGGCCCATTAATGGGAAGCATTAGTTTCAACGATAGAATATTCTCAAAAGATTACAAAACCGAAATATTCTTGTATTGTATCGTTTTTAGATTTTTGCAACTGTTTCTTGATGCTATCATGCTATGTATGAAATTATTAGTTGTCACATTATAGCTTAACGTTCCCAATCATGTGTACGTGTAACTAAGTATTCAAAACACTTCGTTTGGTCCGTTTGGATATTATTCTCATGAAAAATAAATTACTTCCACCACTCTACGTATAAAACTTAACACTAACTAATCAATTTACAATTTATGAATGATCTTCTCTTTAAAAATATATCAGATATTATCAATTTGTAATTTTTAATATTTTTATTACTGTAATTGATAAATTTAAACTTATTAGTATTTGCAATTATAAATGTTTTAAAAAATAGAAAACATAAACTATCATAGAACGGGGTTATATTGTAGGACATATTATTATTATAAATTTAATATATCATTACGATTTATCACGTGATACACCAAATGACTAACTTTCTTTGATTTTACTCATAATTATAATTCTTTCCCTTCAAAAGATAATTTTAAAAAATATTATTATATTTCAGTTAAATATATATTAATGGATCTTTTTCTTTTCACATCAGTATTAATAGATCTTCCTAACAACATTTTCCCCTATATATATTTTGGATTATGTAATTTTAAAAAGTTCATAAATAATTTTAATATATGTTGTCAAGTGTTCC